ATTGTTCTACAAATTTTAAAGTTAAACAACAGTAGTGTTTGTTAACACTATTAAACACTTTATAAAAACTTCCTGATGTAATAAAATTTCGAACCTAATAATCAGCAATGTCAGCTTTGTATTACAGTATTATAATGAGTGATCAACAGAATTATTTCATACGGTAAAAAAATGAATAAATGAGAATCACAACTCTTGCCAAAAAAGGATTTTACAAAAAACAGGATAAGCGACATAGAAAAAGTTGATCCCAACCATACCTACCACATTTCATTTTACACAAGAAACGTGATCGTACTGGTGCAGTATTTCTATTAGCTAGGGCTATAGTTGTATAATTGTTAGACGATACCTTTTTCAAATGAATATGAAAGACGAAATCTTTGATTAAAGTCGAAACTCCAACCCCCAATTCTTCTGACGAAAGGCGAAACCATAAACTTAAAATGACGAAACCTTATGCTCAGAAAGACGAGACCCTAGTGCTTCCGCTAAAAAAAAAAAAAAAAAAAATTTATTTGATAATTAATTGAATTAACATTCATAATTTATTTAGAGATCAGTATCTGAAATTACATGTACACCAGCAAAAATAAGCCAGCTCATTTTTTCTGGACAATACTAGGGTTGTTATAGACTGGTTGAAATAACCTTGCAAAAAGCCATAGTACTCATGGAATAACAAATAACGAATTAAAAAACATACTGGCAAAATTAAATCTGTAAGATAACAAAGTAAGCACCAAGCGACTTCTCACTAGAACTGATATGTAGTGTTACAATATAGAATATTCAATACAAACTCCTTTTAAAAAATTCAAGCGCCTATCATACAATAAAATTTTTTGTAATATTTATTTTTTTATAATATAATCTTCAACGATTATTTATATATTCGTCTTTTATTAGCTTTACAGTTTCGTCAGCTTCATCACCTTTCATCAGTTTCATCATTTCATCATTTAAGATTTTAATTGACAAAAGACGAAATTATGTTTCGCATTTCGTCAGCGCGAAACCTCGAAGTTTCGCCTAACAACGATAGCCAGGACATTAATACTTGGTATCGGCAACAACTTTAGCCGGTCAGCTAAGCCATCAGTGGCTGAATATTGAATATGACTAATAGTCACTATAGTCATAACCGAACCCATCCTAACTGCTGCAGCATATGATAACGTCATCGAATGGGTTCCTTTTAATCGTTTCGATAATATTCTAAAAATTGATAACTACTCTAAGCAGCATAGTTAGATGGTCTACGAATAATTCAGGAGTAAATGAAAAATACATATAATAAAGTACGCCGGAACTTCGGCTGCCTTTGTGAATGTTGAAATTTTCATTTGTTACCTGAGACAAATTGATATGTACGACAAAAATAGTATTTCGACACTGTATGTTCATTTATGAAAATTGTCCGAGCTATATTAATTAATATTTCATATTCTATTTTATATATATTTAAGTTTAAAAATCATGAAAATTAGAAAAAAGTCTTAAATTATTTGGATTAATTCAAATGCCAACAAATATACATTTATATTTGATGAATTTTATTTCTGAAAGTTGAAATATGTCCAAATTGTAAAAAGTGGAGTGCCTTAAAATTCTAGTGTCAAGCATGTGACCCTGAGCATAGCTCAAGGATGGACAAATGGAAATAAAAATATTGATTATTGCATTAAAAAAACTCCATATTTAAGCTGCAGAATATTTTATTGCAACTGAATGAATTCCTTTTCATAGTTTAGTTAATATTCACAGAAGCAACTAAAAACTCTCAGTAACATGAATTTCCTTTAACATATCCACCTATCATGTTTTTGCGATTGTAATTTGACCAAATATTATAAATTATTGATAAAATATTATTAAAAAGAAGCAAAGAGCTCAATATTAGTGAAAATAATGGAATACTACTATATGTAATCACTCTTGTATAGTATATAACCTATTATTAAGTAATAAACATAAAGAAATAATTTAATTATAGTTGATTTTTTTTAAGAAAAAATATAAAAATAATTTATATACACATACTTGAATAATAAACTGTGGAATATCTTCAATAAACATGTTAATAATTGAACCATAATAAATCCGTATTTTAGCCTTTTCTGAGAACGGTGCCATAAAAATTTTAAAATTGGCAATTTGCGAGGACAAAATATTCAAAGCTTCAATATCAGGACAAGATAATAATGTGCAAATTGATACAATTTTTACATTTTCCACAAACCAATTTCGAAAATTTGAATTGGATTGAATTTCATCCATAATGATTATAAATGTAAGGCAAAAATTAAGAAATGTAGATATAACTGTAACTGATATGCTATTTTGAATGTAATAAAAAAAATATTTTAGTCAGTAACTGTATAATAAATGAACATAATAGCTAAATAAACTATCAAACCTCGGAATAAAAAGTGCTTGAACATCATGACCATTTACAACAATAAATAAAATATCAAGAATAAAATCCAATATTATTATCATAACTTTGAATATAAATATATTGTCGCCCTACATATAAAAAGTTTAAATATTGCTTAAATAATTTTGAAAGCATATACAAAATATTAATAGTATTACTTCTGGATTCTTTTTTCTAGCAAAAAAATAAACAATATATAGCAAACAAATTGCTATTATTGCAGCTAATAATTTAAATTTGACTTCGTTCCAAAGATCAGCTAAATAATTAAACAAATGAATATACATTTATTTTAGTGTAGACAATGTTTGCTAGAATAACTTTTTATATACCTTTTATCTGAAATCCATAATTACTATCCAAAACTTTAATATAATTCCAGTCAAAAAGAGCACTTCCATCTTTATTCTTAATCATATCATTCAAATCATTTATAATATCATTTACACTTGGCTCATTTGAAGAATTTGTTGCCTTTGTAACAGCAAATTCGATTAAAATATTTGAATCAACAAAGTCTGATTGAATATTTCCTGTAATATACAACCGATTGCTGTCAATAGGAAGTCTTGTTATAATTTGTTGATATAAATCATTTTTAATCTGTTGATAAAACGTTAGATTCGTATTTAGCTTTAGAGTTGCTTTTGTAGAATCTAAATATTTAATTAAAAAATAGTGAACTTATGCAAAAGTCGAATATAAAAGTCTAAAATAACATTACTTACCGACGATTTCTGAGCTATAAACTATAATTGATAAATGAAAACATTAGCATTTATACAAAGATATACTCCAAATTCAAATAATAATAATAATAATAATAACAGTAATGCTTGCATTTTGGAGTCTTAACTTGCCAAACATCACGCTTGATCCCGTTCAATGGTTCATTAAATGATAATGTTCGGACAAAATTATCGTCTAAACTGATGGTATAAATTCTATCTATTCTATTAAATGTACTTGGCAAGACTTTACATGACACTGCAGTATTATTATTCTGAATTAAAATGCAATTTGATGCCGGATAAATTTGACGCAATAAATAATTAGATTCATTAATAACTTGATAAATTGTAAGATTGCCAGTCGATAAAGAAATTGGAGTGAAAAAAGTAATATTGATATTTATATTTTCACCGGAGGAAAGAGATATTAATGTCTTATTTTGCTCTGGTTGTGTAAACAAAATTGCTGGGTTATTGAAACCATCTAACAAAATATATAAGTTAGCAAGAATATGTATAAAGAATAATAATGAATTAAAAGACTTACTATCTTTAATAAATTGTTTTGCATCTTTTGTGATAATAAACCAATTTGATGAATAATTAATATTATTTTGCATAGAAATCCAAACGGTGTTGTTATTAAAAACGCCGTATTTAACGTCATAATCAGAAGTATTAAGTGAAACACTAAAGGATTCACATGAATTATCAATATCGCAGATATTTATATCACCGTTATCATAATAAAAATAGCCACCAAATTTTAGTGGAATAATATTAAAAAAAGAAGCATATGTACTTAAGCTATTATATAACGTGCTTGTTTGGATAACAGAGCCAGATGTTGAAAATTTAATGAACTTTCTATCAACTGTATCAGTAAGATTAAAATCAATTTCTGAAATTATAAAGCAAATACTGCTTTGTGTATCTACTGAAGTAAACCCTGCTTGACAATTAAGTATACTTGTACGAATTAAAAACCTATCATATGATTGAAAAAGCATAAATCGTTGATCAAACCCATCTTTTATAATATTCACGTAGAGTGACATAATTGGTTCTTCAGAACTGAATGCATTGAATATTAAGCTAGGGATAACTAAATACCGGAGATTATCTTGAATTTTTGTGCTAACAACCATATATACAATTGCATAAAGCCCATCAACTGTATTAAACACTAAGTAATCATAAATGGAATATTCATCGTCTGCTTTAATAGCGATAGTACCATTTGATTTTTGAATCACATATTTTTCATCACTATAATACATAAAAATGATGTTAAGTTATAAAATGAACTTACAAAAATATTAATTATTAATACCTACGTGAATTCATATTTTATCCAGTTCAAATAAGTAACATTATACTTCGTTGGTTCCATTGGTTCCATTGTAGCCAAAAATCCTTTTGATAAATAATTATATGGTGATATAGATAATTTAAAATTCCCGGATGAATAATTTTGGCTAATTAGGATATATAAATAATAAAACTTTCAATATCCAATGCATAATATATATTTAAAAAATACGATAATTGAAATGAATCTAGACCTTGATATTAAAGTTCCATGCCAATCGATAACAACGCCATGATATATATTTTCAATAAGACACATCATTAAAATATAATTTGTTGACAACGGATAACTTTCCGCTTTATTACAAATTGGCGAGTTATTATATTCAACTGGAATAATACTTCCGTTCATAAAAAAGAGATAAAGATGAGGAGCCATATTATTAATTTTCTGGGTTGTTATCAGAAGTGTACCATCATCGTACTGCTTTATATCTGATAAATTTCCGTAGATTGAGACGGGAAATGTAAAAATAGAGTCAGCTATGCAGTGACTTAGCGAAATTATTATGAACCAAAACAAGGCAACAGATTTATAATCGTGAAAGTTTCTCATAATGTTATAAACTAGGGTCTGAGTCTTAAAAAATTGGAAATTTAAAAATTGCAAGGCTCACAATTTTTATACGTTAACAACTCTGAAAAATTAGCAAGTATATTTTTCAAGATACTTGACTACAAACAACTCTAGTATCACGAGAACTTAGTACTCCTATAGTTTATCATTAAAAAGATTAACCTAATAAAAATTAGTATTATTGTAAAAATAGATTATGTCCATTATGTTCACTTAAAATTTGAAACATTATTGATCATCTAATAATTACGTCGTACAATCTATTTTGAGCGAAAAAAATGAATAAAGTTATTCGAATGTATCACGAATTCGAAAAGCATTGTGTGTATACTCTCGAATTTGCCCAAAAAGGAAATTTATTTTGTAAATAAACAAACAAGTCTTAAATATACTGAGGGCGTTTAATTTGTATTATTTATATAATTTACAGTACTAGGAAAATAGAAACTATTTGAAGTCCGAAGGACTAATGTAACGATTAATTTTTCCTGTGTCTCCTCATTTCCGTATTTGTATGATTCTTTAAGTTGTCACTCACCTTCCATAATTGTACCATCCTAGTCATGTTAGTAGTATTAGGCATTACCAGGAACGGAGTGATGAATATCACGTAGTGTATGGTTATACGACGATCGCAAAATCTTAGATCTGATTGGTCCGCGTGACTCTAACTGTCACCTGTCGTCTATTTTTCACACGTCAAGCATCACATTGTATGCTGTTAAAAGATGACCTTGTTTTTGACGTACGTACGTACATACATACTAAAACTTTGTGTATTATGTATGCGTGATTGGAAGTTCGTTGATGGAAGCCGATTAATTAAAATATTCTATCAAATTCAGATTAAATTTCGTCATAATGTGAGGTTGCGAATGAAAATTTATATATATGTCGAAAAGCATCGCATTACACTTTATTGTTGGACTATGCCGGCAAATTAATTTAGGCCAGAGACGATTTTATTGAAGCAATGACAGCTGTTTTCATAAATTCTGGGACACCCTAAAAAAATTTGCCGAAGTCCATTCGGCTGAATTTGATTTCACAACGTCAACTACTTATAGTATAGCAAACTTGTTTATTGAAATATACCGTATCTATACAAAAATAAAAAATTTGTCTTTTTAATACGTAACGCTCCATATTACACGAGTAGGCAAAAAAGTTTAAATACGATCAGGGGTTGTAAAAAATGCAACACAAGTTGAAATCGGAGGTCAAAATTTTATTAATATTTGTCGATAATGTCTTAATAATTATAATAAAGTTCAAAGTATACATAACGTTTATTTAAAGTGATGGTAATTCATCAACACAGTCATACCTTTGTAAACTCGACCCACAGAAGACCTGTTAATACCCAAATGTTTAACTATTTCCCAACGAATATGTTTGAAAAATCTTAGTAACAAATACATATGTATTATGCATTTATATAGCACCGAGATAAATAGCTTATCGAATTCGGCCCAATAGACTTCGGCAAATTTTTTTAGGGCGTCCCAGAAATTATGAAAACAGCTGTAAGTGGTGATTAGTACATGATCATGAAGCGAGTTATTGACCGAGATTGGTCAGAACGGCAATGACATCCCGAGAGGTTGCAATAAACATTGCGCTGGGAGTTGCCGTAGGATTGATTAGCCACTTGCTAAAGAAAGCCGGCTGTGAGTATAGTATTGGTTGAGAAATTAAAATATGTGCAGGTAGAGAGATGGTAGAATCACGTGGTCATCCTTTCTGGGCGGATGGGTGGGTCGAAACTTTGATCATTCGGGTTTAATCACTACTGTTGATCCGTACTTTGTTTCTTGGCTTAAATACATCTTGCATCTTTGGTTACCTGTTCCCATGTGCGTAGCTAACATATGTCATGTGTCTTCATATGATTTTCAACCTTCAATCACTTTCCTTACTTAGGCTAGCACTGCCTGAGATTCTGTGCGTGGCACGTGGTGGTGCTGCACATGTTGGTGCATTAACCATAGCTGCTGCAACAAATTTGGACCGGCAGATCCTCGATTTTGATTGGCTAACGGCCGAGGATCTTCGAAATTTTGGCCCACATTACAAAATTGGTTACTAATTTCCGGCCGGAATTAACTTTTTAATTTTTTTATTACAAAAATAGAAATTCTTAAAAAATAAGCCCGCATTATGGTAAAATTGACCCAGGAACAATTTTCACTTAATGGGCGGTTATGATTTCATTAGTAAAATTATGAGTAATTCCGGCCTAATCTTTTTTATCGTCGCTCTTAGCCAATCAAAATCGAGGATCTGCCGGTCCAAATTTGTTGCGGCAGCTATGGTTAATTGTTAGTGCTTCACTTTTTGACTATGTGATCTACCATCACTTTGCACGAATATTTTAGCTGCGCATGCATTTATTAACCAGTGGTTTTGTGTATAATATAATTAAAATAATTTTCTTTGTCAAATGAAACATTTAATAATAAAAGGAAATAAGATTTTATTGCATATCGATCCATTAGCATTACTCTTTAATTAATTATTAAAAATGAATCACTTTGCACATCGATATGTAGATTTTTTACTTTAAAATATTACACATATTGAAATTGGTTTGATTCTTTAAAGAGATCTGATTGGTGTATATTTATCAATATTGAAATTAAAAATCCCTGGTAGTAATATTATATACTTTTTTTTGAACTTTGAACAAAAATATCGCAGCAATTACCTATCTAATCAATATCACAGAATTAAAGTTTGGAAAAACTTAACTGCTAACTTTGTTTTAAAAATTGTCTAAATTCTTTATTAACTTCGTCCAATAATTTCTCAACAGCAAAGTCAGTAAAGCTTTTTATATTAATTCTATGAGTCCATAGGATAAAAATAAAAAAAAATGCAAATGGAAAATGTGTACTAGGTTGGTGTGCCATGGTGGCTTGATATTTCGGAGGTTCAATTTTTATGATCATTACATTTTATGTTGATACTTATACATGTTATAATTTGTGTGCAGTTATTTGATGTAAATAATGTAAATAATGAAAATATTTCTTATCGCAATTGTAAAAATGCAAAATTTGGTACAACTTTGTATTAAACAAGAACAAATAAATAGTTATAAATGTAAAAAATTTAATATTCATATAATAAATATAAAATTTAGGACAAAATTATTCAACATATTCATTTCATCAAAATCCATTACAGGTATAATTGTGTAAAGTTCAAAATTTTACTTTAGTCAGCTGCACTTAATAATAAAAAAAACATATTTAAGACTTCAACAAATTGTCAGATTTACCTATTCCACTCCAATGATTACTTCTATCAAGTTATGAATATAAAATTGAAAATTTTAGTGAATTAGAATCTATTATTACTGTGTAAGATGTAATAATTAGACAGCTTACAGTTGATTTATTCATTAATGTTAATAATAAAGAAAGCACCTTAGAGTAGTTTAATGAATTTCAAGAAATATCTAAGACAACAATGCGACTAACATGAACCTACTAGCTAAAGGGAATAAAATTGTTTACAGAGAGCTAAGACACTGTATTCACAGTAATTTAACCAAATTAAATATTTTATGTAGTTATAACGATTATGCTATTCATAATATGTATTAGCAATTTGGCATTATAAATTTAAATTTTGCTTGAATTACTGTATGTTTATTATGTTAAAAAAATTTGATATTTTTTTATTTTTTTTGTTATCATTATTATTGTATACATTTTCACTGCTATGACGCATATGACACATGTGGCGCACCAACCTGGTACACATTTTCCATTTGCAAAAAAACTTTCAATGATTCTGAATATACAATGCATGATTCTTACTGCAGTAGCCTGCTAAGTTTATAAGCATACCGTGATTAGATGATCATTGCTACATGAATTATTAAATGATTAAGAGCAAAAAGAGTAATTGAATTCATTTTTTAAAAAAAATTTAATATATTAGCCCTAAAATTTCGGGCCAGGCCAGGTTCAGTTTGGGTAACCCAAAAATTGTCAACTCTACCGACCTGTTCAGAGCACTAATTGCTACACACTATATGTAGTTTAGTGTTGGCAGCATTACTGAATTATAGTATTAAGGTATTTTACAATATGGTAGAATTAATTATAGCACAGAACTTAATTGCCATAAATATTATGTACCATAATGCCATAATACTATAATGCCATAATATCATAACACTATAGTATCTTTGTAGCATAATAATATGATTCTGTAATACTATAACACTATAATTTTTAAAACTTTAGGTGCTGAATTTTTTAAAAAAATTACTAAATTTATTAATCAATAATAATTTGATTATTGCTAATAATCCCTATGTAATTATATTAGAAAACTGCATATTACAGTATATATAAAATTATATAAATTTAAACCTTGAAATCTGATAAATTTTGAAATAGAGAATAATACTGCACTGCACATTATCAAGTAGTTTCTAG